GGGCAATCCACTATTGGAAGCTTTGACCCAAAACAACAACGAGAAGATACTCAACAGAAGGGTAGTAAAAGTAAAGAAGCAAGGAGAACACCATAGAACGCTATAGGGATTAAAATAAAATAAAAAGTGGTTGCCGACCGGACAATGAATGCGTGAAGGAAGATAGTTAGGATGTGGTCAAGCACCATCGTGAGTAGAAGTCGTGGGTGTCATCTATCAAGTCTACCTAGAGAAAGTTTCTAGTGGAAATGTTGGCTCTGAGGTATGGCGAGGAGCTACTAAACTGAGTAGATCAAAGCTAGTACCAAGCATCGATGAAGGAGTTTTGGTGAAAAGGGTGGTAGTTGATAAAACAACAAATTCAGGGAGAAAGATAGTTAGGAAGAGCCGGCGAAAGAATACGAAGGTCAACAAAGAGGCGTTAAGGTGATTGCCAGTGGAGAATAAGTTGGACCATAGGAAGCCCATCAAGAACTGAGAAGCTCAATGGTCAACTTTAAAGTAGAAGTGTGGGGGTCCAGAACGGTCGAAGGGAAAACCTTATCGGTCAAGGTACATAAGTGAGAAGAGAATATGGGCACCAAGATGACTACATCGAGGATGAGGGACATATAGAACTAGCGAGAAACATCGGTAAGAGGAATCACGAATAAAGAAGTAAGATGGATATGAGTTTAGCGAACCTGCTAGGATACCCTAAAGTGAAAGCAATACCACCTATGAGGGTGAAAATTTCTTGGACGGGGAAACTGTACGATGAATTTCAGCTAGGGTCTAGGAGTAGCAGAATAGATAGTACGAGAATTGCAAATTCAAGCGACAATAAGTCAGTATTTAATTATGCGGCCAGTGGTGAACAAGCAAGCCAAGGAGGATGTCATGATTCTTGAAAGAAGCATTAATTTGAATGCAAGTTAGGGGTGCGATGCAATGGATGCCTCTGATGCATACAGAAAGTAAAAGCGGTAGTACGAGGTCTCGGCGTTAAGAAAGAAGTAACGAGGAGATGCCTTTCAGTTTATGATCAAAGGATAAGATGAAGTATCAGGGAAGAAAGTAAGAGATATAAGTTAGGAGATACAATGACGTAGGTGACCGATGTGGTCAACCACAGACTGGTTTACGTTAAAAGAGTTTTATAAGGGCAGTGAGTTGGACCATGAATCATATCGAATCGAAATTTTGTTTAGCATGCGACCGGTCCAAGTTGCTTAGAATTAAAAGGGCAGTGAGTCACTCAAGTTACACAAGTGCTCCAAGCTAAGAGAGAGTACTTGTTATGGCCGAGAAGAGATATAAGAGGAGCATTAACGTCTCGTATACCAAACAATGGATAGTTATCGTCCCTATATATGTACAGGGTGCAGCCGAGGTAATGTGAGGGGTTAAGAAGCCACGACAACATTGAAGTTGCAGGGAATGGAGAGAAGGATTTTAGGTCATGTCATACAAGTTAAAGGAAATACAAAATCCGCGAAGTGAAAAGGATTACCACAAGCGATACTTAGGGTAATCACAGTGGACAAATTTCGAGGGCGAAATTTCTATAAGTGGGGAGGAAATGTGATACCTCGACTTCGATAGGTTCAACATCAAGTACTGGGCCCAAGTTGGAAAATTCGGAAAAAAGGCAATGAGTCACTCAAACCTATTCGATGCTACCGAGCTAGATGAGAATACCTTTGTTGTCAAGAGTACATATAAGAACTATAGTAAGCTATTCAAGACAAGGTAAGGGCACGCCATTGAAGTTCATATAGAAAGAATGAAATCTTGAGCTACAGAAGCACGAGAATGAGGAGTATGAAAGGATGAGCCCGATCAAATTTCGGGGACGAAATTTTTATAAGGGTGGAGGAAATGTTACACCCCGCTCGTCCCAAAATCCAAAATGACAATTATACCCTTGGGTCAAGTTCCACCGTATTATCGATGAGGATTAAAAATGTGAACTATCGGTTCAAGCGGTGTCGAATTTCGACATAAAATGAGAAAGTTACGGACATTATTTGAATTTCGTATTAAACTCACCCGTAATTAGGAAATTCCAAGAATAACCCCGAGGAAATTAAACCAAAGCTAAGCTAACCCTAATTACCCCAGGGCGGCACTTAATTTTTCCGCCGCTAACCCTTAACCCGAAACCTCTTTTCATCCTCCCGTGCGAGAATGCCATTTGAATCGTCCCGATCCGAGCGTTCTACCTCCTCCCCTATTTCCAAATTCGCTGCAGCTTTCGGTTTAGGGTATCGCAAAGGTTGATCAACAAAATAGAAATTACCAATTGTGGGTTTTGGCAGAAGAGGGTTCTTCTTCTTTTGTGTGGGTACTCACTCGGTGGAGGGGAAGGAAGATACAAACTGGGGCTAGAGATGCTGAGATTGCGCGATTGAGGGAGCAACTTCATGATTTGGACACTTCCAAGTTACTGTTGGTCGAGACTATGAAGGCAAGAAGCTTGGAGAAAAGGAGTTGGAAGGTTGTGGATGCTTGGATGGAAATCTATATGCGAGGTAGTTAAAAGTGAACTGGGAAGCATGTAGAGATAATTGTGGGGTGGCAATATATGTTGCTTACACGTGGGGAGTTGGTGACTCATGGGTTTGGCTGCAAGCTTCACAAGATGTAAACCACTTACTTGAACTCTTGTGTATAGAACTGGTCATGCGTCGAGAAGGAAGAGGGGTCTTAACATTCAGATGAAGGATATCGAGTTACCATGAGAATCGACAACGGATAGTAAGGTGAGTGTAAAGGGGGTAAATTCTACGTCTTACGTATTCTTTTATGTTTTATGATTTTAAGTATTTTAGCGAATTGGTTATCGTTGCTTGGTTATGTGTATGATTGATTAGTTGTGCTTTGCTTGAGTTACGGTTTGAGATGATTTTGTGTTATTTGAGGTGATTTTGTTTGAGCTGTGCTTGAAGTGAATGTTTATTAATTACTTTGAAATTTTTACGAGTATAAGTTATTATTAAAGAGTAAGAAGCAAGGTCTTTTTAAGAAGTAACTCACCTTCAAGAAGGTGGAGTCGTTTTAAGTGTTTTTAGTCACTAGCGCCAGTCCGTTGCCTTTTGAGACAGTTTGAGATAGAGCAGCAGTTATGCTCTTGAGATTCTTAAGATGGGCAGCAATATGCCCTTGAGAATCGTGGTGAAGAGCCACCACGATAAGTTTAAGATGTTAGGGGGATGAATCGTTACGACTTCCCTAACTAAGTTTAAGTTTAAGGAAAGCCTGAATGGCTTCTCATACGTATGAGTTGGCAACCGGACTAGCTAGTGAGGGATCCCCGTGTCAGTCAAGAATTTAAGTAGAGATTTGAGTTTTAAGAGTACAGTTTCAAGAGTCAAGATTTTTAATAGTGGAGGTACAAAACAACTTCCACTAAGTTAAGTGATCAAGTATTAATAAGATGTTAAACGTAAGGGCGTAGACTGACCCCATCTCACTCACCAGTTTGAAGAGCTAGAGGAGCAGTTAGTGAGAAGCGAGTTCGAGGCCAACCAGCTAGAGGAGAGCAGTATAAGCGTCACGGAGGATGCTTAGTGAAGGGTTTCAGTAGCAACAACATTAGAGATTAGTAGTTACTTACATTTATGATTATGAGTATAGACTGGAGATCATTCTGGAGATTTTAAGTATTGAGTTTGCCCATGTGTTAGGGCGTTGCTTTGAACTACAAGTGCGTGTTTTCAGTATTTTATTTATGAAAATTTTTCTCGCTGCAATTTAAAATTTGAGTATTTTATTTATCAAGGGCATTTTAGTAAGAAGTAGTACCCGTCCGGGTTAGGGTGTTACAAGTATCCTCTCTTTCCTGGAAAGTCTTTTATCTTTTCCCTTTTAATCTTTAACGGACGATTTCTCTCTCGTTTTAAGTCGAAATTTAATTTTTTTGCACAGATAAATCAGATTATATGTGCTCTTTAAAATGATATCCACTTTGATATATTTTTAGTATTAAAAAAATTGAATAATTTTTTACCAGTCATTACCATATGATATGCTCCTATTTAATACCATACGGTAAGAAAGCGTACCATGATAATATGAACATACCAATATGGTAAAAAGGTTGAATACATGATAGTAGAAGTATACTCACTGTCATTTACGACTTTCATCATTGTTACTACAAGTTACCACCTACATACCATAGTGGTAAAGTATGGTAATTTTTTATCCAGTATTTTTTCACCCAGAAATTTATAGATCCAATAGATCATGATGAACTCATTCCTTCTGAGCAAACGTTTTCAAAAACGACTTAAAAACGAAGAAGTTACCATATGGTATGTAGTTGGTAAAAAAAAGTTTCTAGAAATATATTGAAAATTGATCTCATTTTGTAGAGCACAATGAACTCGTTCCATCTGTGCAAAAAAAAAAAAATGGAAATCCGAGTTAGAACGAAGAAGATAAAAACCGATTAAGAAAACTAGGTAAAATAAAATGCATTTAATTGACAACCCTTAGATCTGAATTTTTTGGACCCACTTAAATCTAAAAGTCCAGATTTAGTTACTATAATCAATGATTTTTTTTTACAGTAGACAGTAACCAATAATTACTGACCTCATCCTAAATCATCTGGCGTTCGTTTTCTTTCTTGTCGGAAGTTCTTTTATTTACTTTACACCTAAAATACATTTCGAAAGAGAAACTGGAGGGGGTGAGAATTCTCGCCGCTGATGATAAAAATATGAGCATGAGTTTTTTTTAGATGATGAAAATATGAGCAGAGTTTTTGACTTGGGTGATTTCCGGCGGCTGGTTTGGTATTGGAATCTGGCGGGAAAGAGCGAGATTTCTCCACCTGACCGTTACGACGGGAATAAACAAAGCTTGATTCACATTTTGCAAAAAAATACATAACCTCCTCCCATTGCATCATTCTAGATAAGATACGCAGGCAATCAGAAGGTCGATGCCGCATTCAAAATGGCATGCTCATTGACTTAGAACACAGCGGGGAGGGAAAATCTAATGAACGGTAGTCTAATGATAAATAGGTTCATTAATAACAGCAGTTGTACCAGTGCAAATTACAGAACGCCCGAAGAAAAGACACCTATAAGTCTATAACTTCAAGCAAGTTGTATTGAAGCTTAGCCACTCCCTCAGCTGCATCACTAGTTTATTCAGTCCTTCAAGCTCCACTGCTAACAATCTATTGATACCACAAAAGGGTTTTGTATAGAGTACAACCGACACAATGTAAAAAAAAGTCATCCAGGAGAAAAGAAGGCAATATAGATCATGCTAAAACTGAAGAACAATCTGCTTAAGAAGTTGCTGCATAGAGAGGCCAATAACCCAGGGGCGAGAACAATGCGACGGAAGAAGCTCCAGCAGTCAGGGTTTCATGAAAGACTGCACGAGCAAATCTTTGACACGAAGTGGCAAATAGTACACGATTGCCATGATGGTGGAGAACTTGCCTGAAGAGAACCATGCGGGTGGATGTTTTCTGAGAATGGCAGCAACAGTATGCTTGGCGAATTTCTCGGTAGGGGTGCCTGCTCTGCCCTGGGAGACAAATCGTGTGATTGCCGGCTCAAATGGCTTGTACAATTTCCACTCGGAACTATATATAGCCTCGGCTGAGGGCATTATATTCGATTGAACAGCTCCTGGAACCACATTTATAACATCGATTCCCAGTGGTTTCAGTTCTAACCTGCATTTTTTCGTTTCACATTTGTAAGTAGTCATTACATTAGACAACAGCAAATGACATCCGAGCAAGGTCATAAAATTCGCACTCTTCTTGTCTGCTTGAGTTTAATAAAGGAAATGGCAGGACATGGAAATTTCAAAACGTTTCTCCCTGATCAATGTGTTGGCACTTTCTGTTGATCTAGGGTTGCACGGGACAGATACTAACCTCAAAGTATCAGTTAGAGCATGCATAGCGGATTTAGTTCCAGAATACGTCCCGGCCCAAGGTAAAGGCGCCAGCACTATGACACTTCCTATGTTAACGATCTTCCCCTTTCTTCGAGATGCCATGTGTGGAACAAGAGCTTGAATCATCCTCATGGGACCTACAATACGTAGATGTTTCAGTCGATAAGCTGAAAATTTTGAGTTAAAAGGAGAAAAATAAGGATAAAACAATACTATGGCATCTTCCATGAAATTAGCAATAACAGTCCATATAGAAATCGCTGTTTTGTAAGAAAAAAGAGGACATCAACTAGGAGTCTAGGACTAGTTTGTTCAAAAGCATGAGATGCTGCTCTCAACTAATGTGCAAGGACAGCAAAGCATGACTAATGCAGACTTCTTAGACTTAATCGCCTAAGGACTTACATACATCAAATCTCTAACTCTGTACCTAAATCATTCGACACGTTAACAGACCTGATGCTAATGAAACAAGTGCATCAACAGGTAGACATAGAAGTCAACTAAAGAAACGCAGACGCTATCTTTTAGGTAGTTGCTGAAAGCTATAGTCAAAGTGTCATCGGCGCTTGGGACAGCAATACTACAATAGTATGGTAGAGTTTCCAGACAAGGTCACTGCTTCATTTGACAGAAAATGCGGAAGCCTAAGTGCAAACTTGTACATCATATTCACGGTTTCTACTTTCTAGTCATATCCTGTTCCGAAGAATTCAATTCAGCCAGCAAAAATTTATCTCCATAGACCCAATTCAGTGACCTCTTCAGTTTCTGCAGAAAGTGGAAACCAATAGTATATTCCAAGAGAGCTAATATATCAAAGCAGAATAGGTAAAAAGCCATGTTTCAGCTCTTATTTGGACCATCGATCACTCAACCAACCAAAGCCAGTTCAAACACGTAAGATTATCCCTTGGCAAGTCACAAGTGTACCATCTAGAAGGGCATCAACTAACTGATAAAAGAACCCACAATTCGATTCAAAAGAAAGAGGTGAACAAACAAGCAAGCACAGCAAAAAAATCCGAGAGGGGTAACAATGGGCTGATCTTTAGAATTACCGTAAACATTGGTATTGAAAGTATTCTGGATGCCAGACAGAGGAACCTCAGCAAGAGGGCCGACGCACTGAACCCCAGCGTTATTGACCAGAACATCAACTCTCCCATACTTCTCGATGACGTTTGTCACCACCCTTTGCACGCTCTCGTCGGAGGACACATCGAGCTCTTGGAGATAGAACCTCTCGTCCTGTTCCAAGTCCTGCATCGAGCTCAATGACCTGCTCGTGGCAACGACCAGGCAATTTTTGGCAGCGAACTCTTTAGCCAGGGCGTGGCCAATGCCTCCCTGGGAGCACCCGGTGATCAGAACCACTTCTAGCCCGACGGACTCCATTTGAGGGTTTCAATCGGAGGAAATCGCTGGAAATGGGGGAAGCTTTGAAAGGGGTTTTCTTCTCTACTGACAGTGGTAGAGAAATAGAAAGGTGAGAGCTATGGGAGCTGATTATTAATATGAGTGGAATCGTCGCCATTCTTGGCCGGCTGCGGAGATTTTGAACTCTGGGATTCCGCCGGCTGGATTGGTATTGGAGTCCGGAGGAAAGAGCAACTTTTGTCCAGCTGACGCCTGACAGTAACGGCTGGAGTTAATAAAGGTTTATTCACATTTATTAAATTCCAATTAATGTACCTTCTACTTCAAATAGAAACATTTGATTACTTAAAAAAAAAAAAAACAGAACGCAATTGTGTTGCTACGAATCCTACTATGACTTACAAGTCGTCATAATTTGGAAAAAATTGTCTAACATTTTTTACCAAATAACTTATTGTTTAAGTCAGATTGTCGAGCACGTTCGACAACCAATCAAACAGATGAACCATTGCTAATGAAATAAATATATAAATTAGAAACATTCAATATTAATAAATATGCTTGCTCGTAAGATAATTGAAGTTAGCGATCGTTTGAAAGTTGAGATTGTTAAATAAATGTATTGTTATGAATACATTGTATATATGTATTGTCGAATTCGATGCACTTGAAAAATATAATGTTTGATATGTGTGATTGTGTATGTCACATAAGTTAAAATCTTAGATAAAACAATCTCAGTTTAAAGTTTAGATATAACAATCCCTCGTTTTGAGTAATATTTTCAGTCACATCACAGAAACAATCCTTCATGTATTATGTCTGTAAAATAAAAAATAAATGATGGCATGATGCATTCTAAACAATACAAGTATAGTAACAATCTAAAAAAAATTGTACCTCTCAAACGACCCCTTAGTACAAAGGTTGAAGCATAGATGAGAAGTTTCTCAGGCGAATGTTCTCTCATAAATTTTGAAAATGTTATACACATTTATTTCTTAGATTTGACTTTATCTATAGAGATTTTTATCTTCATTCAAATTCTAAGTTTATTTGCTTTTCATTCTATGGTTATCTTGTGATGGAGAAGATTTGTTGCTATTGTATTGTTATGAAACTACTTAAAAAGTATATATAATTTTCATACAATTGTGTTATCTTTACATTCATAAATCTTCTATCCTCTTGCTTTTGCAGGTTCTTATTGCAGAGTGTTAAAAGATAGTGTTATTTCTTATTCTCTAGGTCTAAAATCTTTGAAGAGATTTGGTTGCCCACAAGTGATAGGATATTGCATTACTACGAAACAATTCGTATTGTATGCTTCTACTACTTCTAAAACGCAGGTTTAGGTTATAGGTATGTGTATCGTTCATTGTCGAAAGAGGTCCACCTCTTGCTGAAAGTTGTAGGCATTTTTCAAAAGCGGATGACCAGTTGTCTGGAATGGTCTATCGGTTGCCAGAAAGAGTTGAGCATTTTCTCCAAGTTACAGTGACTAGTAAGTCACCACATGCATACCATAAATAATTTAGTTTGTGTTTGGTATTTAGATATGTTTATTTCATATGTATGAAATAATATTTGAATCAGAAATTTAATTTAAATTTATTTGCAACGTGTTAGTATTTAGATTCTGTGATTATTTATTGAATTTGAGGCTAAAGAATACGATTTTGGAAATTATAATATTAGTACTCAAATTTAATATTTTTAAAAATTTAGTACCTATACTTTAAATTTTTGTACAAATGGGTATATAAATTTTTATGGTAAAATAATTTGTTAGTATTTGTTAGCTATAGTACCCAAATTTTTAAAATTGTACAAACAATTTCTTTTAATGTATGATGAATTTCAAAGTAATAATTGTTTATATATATTTGAAATTCACAGGTAATATAGTAGATATATATTTAGAATTCAGTCTATCGTACCCAAACAACTGGAGAATCCCAGTACGTTTCACTTTGTGCCTGATGTGTGAGTGTTAGATCAAATTTATAAATCCAGGGGATGTCTAGGATTGTATTTCACGAGGTCTTCTAATGTATAACTACTCATACTCCTCAGCTTCCAAATTTGAACCCTCTGACCCCTTTCGATTTTTCATGGCACAGAGACTCGAAAATATCTATTTCCAGTCATGCTCTAGTTAATTATGTGTGAGTTTCATATTTTTTTTAATCCCAAGAACCTTGATCTCATTATAGGGATTGTTTTTCGTGTTGCTCGGAATAGATCTTAGATTTCTTTGGGCATTTTGAAGTTCCAGAAGGGAAGCGTATTGGCACTCCAAGTTCTTAAGAGCCACCTCCTATCCTATGAAGTATTCTCAGATCTCATCTTCATTCAGTCATACTAGGGGATCAGGAGGGGAGGCGTTCTTATCCTTGAATGGAGGTCGCCTATCGAAACCTGGTGGCGTCGGATTTAATTATCTTACCCAATTGTGATTGGGTAGAGCCTTACTATCCCAATGAGCCTCATGAAGGTATGGCGCTTTAGTGGATGATATGTTCGGGTAGTTGACATGCTTCTATCCTTTCGGTAGTGGGCATGGTCCAGCCAATAGTTTCCTCCGATCTCTATAATCGTTATTTTATTCATATGATTATCAGAGCTCTTATAGACGAAGATGGATAGAGAGGTCGAGGATTCTGGTGTCTATAGCTATTCTGATTGTAATAGCGAGCTTGTGGATATCGAATGGCCAAAAAGTCAACCTACTCAAAGTGGATTTGCCTATAGCCCTGCAATTTTGTCCAAAGTGACCATTTTTCGCCACATTATTTATAGACAAAACATTTTTTTCAACACTCAAGTTTGGTCTCAACTTTAAAGCTTTAGCTTCTTTGATAACTTTTTCAAGTTTTCGAGAGAGACCGACAAGATCATCATTCGTTTGTTGTGCCATTTTCACGACCATGGGAGCAACCTGAAATCGCTCCCACACTTTGTGCAACAACTAATAGGTGTGTGGCCGGAAGTGATAAATTTGGTCATTTAGATTATCCATATTTCACAAGGATGAACTCTTTAATAAAGGCATGAGCAGATTCTCGTTTCAAGGCTGTCATAGCATACAGGATTCTGGACCATGTCGGTCGTTGAATTCCTCAGCTCAAAATTAGGTATAGCAAGAGGTAGGATGATGTTGGAAGCGATGTTCGCAGCTTGAGGTCCCGTACACTCATAGAGAGTTCATTCAACCATGCCTCATAGAGTTGTAAGTTTAGAAGGAAGCTTGTTGCTTTCAGCTTCTAAACACTAGTCGAAGATAGGGTTAAGGCAGAGAGTAGTTAGTTGCCGGCTCGTAGGCTCTCTTCTTACGCATTGTGGTGACTTGGATGTTGAATAATTGGAAGTCCCACTCCTATACTCGCGAACCTTGGTCAGTCTCTTAAGTTTAAGCTTCTTTGTCTTTCCCGTGTTTTGTGTTAGGCTCATACTCAAAAAATCGGGCATAATCTGTACGTGATACACTCTTGATCGACGTTGCTGGCGTCAGTTTATGCCAGTAAACTGCACAAAACTGCCAATTTAGGCCCTGTTCACTTCCATTTTCGTTTCCTGTTTTCTGTTTTCATGTCATAAATTTGGCAACCCAAACGAGAAAACTTGTTTACTTTTTATTTGGTTTTCTATTCGTTTCCAACTATGAAAACAGAAAATGGCAACTTCCTGCTGTTTTCGGAAACGACAAAATGTTGTTTTCACCTGTTTCCAAAATCTGTTTTCTCAAAAACAGGAAACAGAAATGAAAGTAAACAGGCCCTTAAGGTTCCTGATTAATCTTCAATCAAAAGTCAAAATGCACAAAAAATTGATAACAAACGAAGAAATAAAATATTAAAATTAAAACGAACAAAAAACTAAAAAATGAAACAAAATAGAGTGGGTCAGAATAAGCACTCGATGCACCAAAATACGAAGGAAAACAGCGTTGGATCCACCAATTTGAATCCTCTTCTTACTGACTCTAGACTCTGTCTAACACAGAGACTCGAAAAAAATAGAAAATAAACACAAACAGAATAAACATTAATAACAAAAAGAAAAGGAAAAGATAGAACTCTTACCTCGTTCCCTTTTTGAGGGTTGTAAGAAATCTCCGACAATGACGCCAAAATTTGATCTAATTGTAGTAAGGGGGTCAAGTTATAAGGTTTGAAAATTGAGAATGTGAAGGTTGAGGTTCCTCCCGGCGTTGAAGTTTTCCTTCGTTTTACAGAAAAGAAGAGGAAAAAATCATAAACAAAAACTATAGCTAAGGCGAGTTGAGGAAAGCAAGAGCATAAGGAGTTGTACAGGAAGCACCCCCTAGAGTTCCCTGACTCGTATCTTGATCCTGGAAACATATGAGTTGCTATCTAATTCTACCTTGTGTTGAGGCTTCTTTCCTCAATCTGATAGACAACAATGACCATGAAAATTTCTCCCTTAAGGTGATGGTTGATCGAACGAAGATTGATCGTAAGAACTGTAGTGTCCAGTCTCGTTCTATTGAACTAGGGTTTTGATAGTTGCACCACGAAGGGATGCAAGCTCGACTTAGGAACTCATTCAATCCAACAAGAGATAATATAAAAGAATCAAAGACAAACAATAGGAAGAATAAAGTCAATCATATATATGCCAAAATTGAGAATATATTGTCAAGAACCTTTAGGGTTTGCAACCTATACAACTAAGGAACTAATCGTCCATAGAGACGAGAGTCATGGGATTTATCAGTCGAAACTAAGATCTCAAGGAGTCCCAAAAATTGGCGCCTCAAAGATATATTTTGGGGAGAGGCCGCCAGTCTGGGCATCGATTTATCGTTGGTACTAGTGTCGTTCTAAGTCAATTGAGTCACTCTGTCGACAGACTAAGGGACCTCTAATGCCACCTATCACTGGAAACCGAACTCCTCCCCCCTAGAAGTCTATTTATAAACTTTCTCTTACTATTTTGGGGGAGAGAGAATGGTTAAATGACACTTCCTCGAGTCGTCATCCGTCTCTTCAAGCTTGGCCAACACAAAAGGCATATTCCTTAAAGATTTTGGAAGCTTCTGGTCAATCCCTGAAATGGTACTCTGGCACTATTTCTATGATTATGTCGTCGGTTTAGGTGCCATTTTTATCCTCTATTCATTCATCGCTTTTGTCTCCTAGCAGTCGAGTCCTAATGTCCCTTAACACGTCCAAAAGTAGTTCATTAGGTTGCTATTCCTTGAAACACACAAAACACTATCAAGTGTGCAT